GGAAAACAGTCTGCGGGATGCAGGTGAAAACTTTATTGCGACGCTTTGCCACCATTTTATTTGCGCATGAATGAATATTGAGATGGCTCTCTTTCACTCCCTCCAAGCAGTTTTTTTTCTCCCTATGGGCATGCAGCTACTTTATCTTTTGTCGTTGTTGGCGCTTGCTTATCAGTTGTGTGAACTGCAAAAAAAAAGGGAATGTGTGGGTCCGCGCGACGTCTCTCACGGGCAGCACCGCTCTCCCTCACACACACACACGCACGCGGCCATGTGTGCCGCTCCGCCACCCACAGTAAGATATATATATATATATGTGTGTGTGTGTGTGTGTGTATATTTGTATATGCATGTAGACCACTTCTGTGGGAAACACAGCTTGCGTCCTCCGCGTTTGCCTCACCCTTCATGCTTCAAGTTACTTTTTGCTTTTGTTTTCCGGACCTGCGAGGTATCGCCGCGTGTGATGCGTACTTGTTAAATGTGTGTGTGTGTGTGCTTCTGCAACGCTGTTTACCTTCTGTGTTTGTGCGCTCTTGGATATTACGTGAGGCCGCAGCTACATTGCTGGGTACCAACTTGCCTGCCTTCTGGTTCCACCTGACGCGTGTAGGAAGTTCCCTCACGATGCGGAAAACGCACCCGGCGATTGCGGAGCTGAAGCGGCGGAACCGTGCGGCTGGGCAGCGGCTGGCGCCGATTAACGCGCGAGTCACAAATATCGCGCCGAGGCCACCAAGTCATCCCCGAACTTCCATGTCCGCCCAGCCCACCGCCTCCACCGTCCGTTCGTATCCACACGCGCAGGACGCTCCTTCTCGCACGTCGTCGAGGTTTGCGTCAACGGCAAACGTGGGGGGCTGCGGTGGCAGCCACACCACCACTACCACCACCGCCACCTCCATGGCCACAAACCGTAGCAGCGGCAGAGCCAAGTACAACGGTGTGTCGAGGACACCCGTGCACCACATGCCGTCCAAACCCCAGTCCACTTTGCTTCAGGCCAGGGCAAGGACTAGTGCCGCACAAGAGGACCGCGCTTCACTGCGAGAAGGGGGATCTTTGCTGCCTGGGTCAGACGCGGCATCGCGGGGCACCGAAGTTCAAGCAACCGCCCGAGACTCGATGGTGTCGCAAGACACCCTCTTTGACAGCAGTTCCCAGTTATGGGGTAATGCTCACTGCAACCGAATGGTCAAAACCACCACCTCTTCTGCACCGAACGCCGACGCAAATGAGGAAGAGGAGGTGGCGTCCTTGGAGTGCTACAAGCATAGTGAAGCTTGGAACCACAAGCTATCTCAGCAAGTGCTGGATGTGCTAGAGGGAGAAAGAATGGAGGATCCCTTCACTACAGATCTCTGGACGCGCCCTTTAAAAGGGGTGACTGAAACCTTCTCCGGCTACTATGCCTGCGTTCGCTGCCATGTGCCTCTTGTGGCGCCGACCTACCAGATCCTTTACTCGGTGCGCGGGATCGCGGCGTTTTCACGAATGAACACACAAGCTGTGGAGGTGCGAGTTGGCGGCGTCGCGGCCCCAACTTCTTCCTCCTCAGCGCAAAGGAGGGACTCATTAGAGCTGAAGGTGCACTGTCACTGCTGCGGAGGGTTTCTGGGTCTTCTCGCCCCTTCCACCGAGATTGAGTTGGAAGCAGGGGCTCGAAGCGTTTTTGCAGTGAACAGTTGCTGTTTAGAGTTTGTGAAGGGCGCCCGCACACAGTGTCGCCTGGATGAAATTTACGGTGAGGACGAGGACGATGTAACCAGCGGGGTCGCAGCAAAAGCCTCGCGCGGCAGTATAGGGATTGACTTCGATGACCCCGGTATCTTTGAGATGTAAATACACACGCGCAAGAGACTACACGTGCTCAGCCTCCCACAGTAGTAAAAAAAAAAAACGGAAGCGTAAGTCTCACAAGCTGGTTTCTACTGCGTGTAAAGAGGGAGGGAAGGGGGAAAAGGGAGACAGCGAGAATGAATACGTGAGGTGGGTTTGTGTGACTCCCTGCCATGAGTAGCGCACAGCCGCACACACACATACATATATAAACGTCTCCGACTTACATGCATACACACACACACACACACACACACACAAGCTCTCA